ATTGACAAATTGTATTTGCAGCTCCCATCCTCACTCCCACATGCACTTTGATTGGTGCGTTTAATCATTTTGTTTCCTCCCTTAACTGTTATACTGTCTCTGCAAGAGCAGTTTGTGTTTCATATGCCATTTGTCTATTTTTTTACGTGTGCATGGGCAGCTAAATGTGCCACATTTTCACAAGTACGTACAGCATGCCCAGAGCATAGGAAACCTCCATTTGCATGTGGCAATACCGTTACCCCAGGATCATATGAGTCGACGGAACATATTTAAAAACGACTTTAGAACGCACAAACTGTTTTTCAGTCATATTTGTGATGAATAAAACTTGAACGTTTTGAGAGCTCCAATAAAATGTTACATCAAATCATTGCCGTCATTTCATGCTCAATTGCTTCACATTGAGAATCATGAATCTACATTTTAGCGGAGGCAAAAAAAAATATTGCCAGAAAGTCATCTCTCCCAGTGTTATGTCATAACATTTCCAAAGGTCAGAAGCTATTGTAAGACGTGCACTTGTGAAATGTGGCTTGTTCTAACATATTCACCAATTACTGTTGGTACAGGCTACAGTGTTTGCAGAAGGCAACACGTCACATTGGGAAAAAAAAGCGCGTAACATCTTCCGTCTGGGATGTTGCCGTGATGTGATGGTTAGCGCACTGGACTGGCAGTCCAAAGGTCACCGGTTTGACCTCCCGTGTGACAGTTGCGACAATAAGACCGTTTCTTCTCCCTGCCTCTGTCCGACCCCTACCCTCTCCCCCAGTAGTGACACGAGTGAGAGATTGCAGGGCTGCACCTTAATCCGTTTTACCCTTCAATAGGACCCCCATAACACAACGATAATATGGCACTCCTCCCTGCTACGTGGGATTTCAAGCCCAACAAATATGATTATGTACTGTGTACACAAATTCGTCTTTCAAGTTATTTGTTTTACCACTGTTTAACACGTAGGCTTTCTGGCGAATTGCCCGATGATGCTGGATGCAATTACCAGCGAAACGTCGTACTCAAATTGTAAATGTTGTGGCTTCAACACACCGGTGGGCTAAAGCAGTGAACTATTTGTCGTTTGTCAACGTGACACTTTTTTACTGATTGGCCGTGTCGGGTGGTGGAGGGTTACGACACATTTATAAATAACGCGATCTAAACCCAAAAACGTTGATTATGAATTGTTTTACCACGTCAGAACTCAAATTACCAGCATAGTGTCATTAACACGAGTGACCTGGGGCATTCGCCTGCCAGTAGGGGGGCAATGATTGCTATGTATAGTCCCCATTGAGTTATTTTCTGCTCATTTTCAAATGTGGACATAGCGGACCCTAACATCAGCAGACAATGGGCTAACTCTTGTGAATGACTTAGGAGATTACCGTAAACACCAACGTCATCACCTCCCCTCTTAACTCTGCCCTCTCTAGCCAAAGAGGGTGGTGGTCACCGAGTGATCTTTTTTAAGTTACTCAATAGCTACTATGAGGTAACGATATCTATTTCAAAACTGCTTATCATAAAACAATTGAAAAATAAAATTTCCATCACGCCCCATGGTGTTAGGTGCAGTCTTCAAACTTTATTAACTCTATCTCTCTGGCTTATTTATGTGTGTGCTATGAAGAAGGCTGCATTGCCTGAAACGTGACCAAATATGTTTCTTTTAAGGCAGCGTTATCGACAATTTCGTTGAGTTACTTTTTGTTAATTGTGCTCGTGCAACTTCGCCAATGCAGCAGCGTCACCACGTAATTTGTTTCATTTAAACACGTTTTACTGTAGTCATTGGTTAGGCTAGACATTTAAAATTATAAGCTGTTATTTTTGCACTCCATTTACCACGTTGTTTTAATGCTAACGCGGTCAGACATTTACACCGAAGCGAGTGATGGAAATTGTGCGTTTTCAGTTTCATTTATTTGGTATAGCCCTGTGGGCCATTCGGCTCTTGAATCGGGTGCAACCGCAACAAACAAAAACATGAACAAGAAAACATCTTAAAGTGACTATGCGCGTGATGACATACCTTGTTCTGGGGTCAGCCTGGAACTAAGCTTGCAGCACAATTCAAGAAGTGAGTCCAAGGGCTGGAGTCTGTAAATTGTTTGGCTCGGCCAGACAAGTCTCTTGGAATGGATGCCATAATAGATCTATCTCAATTCACACACCAAAAACAAATTAGAACCCAGGCAAATTTGGATAGGTGACAATGCTTGCTTGGAATTTTTCTGAGATGCATGGAAGAGGAACCCATGGATCAGGAAAAAAAACACAAATCAGAAGCATAATTTTGATAATTAAGAAAATTAAAAGGGCTTGAGGAAAACACAATGATCGATGTGATGGGTCTATGGACTATACTGGTGATAGGGGCACCACGGTCACAAGATGTTAACTACTTCGCCTGGTATACAGGACGTCGTGGGTTCGATCCCCACCCTGACGTCTATATATTTGGAGTTTGCATGTTTACCCCGTGGTCATATGGATTTTTATACGGGTCCTCCGGTTTTCCCCTCCACATTTAGAAACATGCATTTCAAGTATTTGGCTGCTATAAATGTCCACGGTTATGATAAGCCACTTCGTTGAGCTTTCATTTGTGGCCAGGGCGCTTCTGAAAAAGAACGACATGGCTCAGTGGGCCTTACCTGTTGAAATAAAAAATAGTTTACTTTTTCGTGGAGGAATGGCAGCCTAAAGAGATACGCTTTGAAGAGGATGACCAGCACAGAGATGGAGCGATTAGATCAGTGTGTGTGTGTGTGACAATGGCTGTTTGGGTAGACCTGGCTTTTAAAGAGCACAGCAGAATGCCAATCTTTAACCAGAGCCATGTGTGTAGTGCCCCCTGGTGATACAAGATAATGATGTCATAAGGGGCCGTCCATAAATGACGTCACGCGATTTTGGACGATTTTTGACACCCACAGCCTCGTCACGTGGCGTCACAAAAAGTCAGGCCCCCCCTCAAATATGACGTCACAAAGCTCTGCCCCACCCCCCCCCCCAAAATAAAACATGCTTCAAATCGCTTTAAACTATTATCATTGTAGTGCGTATTTAATGTGGAGCTGCTGCACTCTGATGTTGTAGGAGAAAACATTTATTAAAAAGTCTATTTAATTAAGTAGAACGTGTTGTCTATATTTATTTAAAGTTGCGCATTTTGATGTGACGTCGCGTTTCTCAAACCCCCCCTCGTCACACATCGTCACAAATGTCTGACCCCCCCCAGGTGCGTGACGTCATTTATGGACGGCCCCTAAAGATCTGTTCAGTCGGAAGAACAGTCCAATACTAAGGTAGTGTATCATATATTTAAAAGTAGTGTATTGCATCTTGTAAAATAAGACTTTCCAGGCAGAAAGGTACGCTGACATTCAGCATGTACTCAAAACTGTGTCACCAACACGAGAATCAACCTAAGAGTATTACTCTTAGGTTTTTTCGGTAAAGTCACGTAGGTAAAATAATAACAATAAAATAAAATAAATTGAAATAACTCAATTAAATCACGACGTTTCGGAGGCAACACAAGTCCCCGTCTTCAGATGGGACCGTCACAGCTAAATTTACTGTATCAAGTGTATGCACATACAATAATAAGTTCCGTGTCTCAAATTAACTCTGAAACTTTCCAATATCGTCCACATTGTACTCATCGATTAATATGCAAATCAGCATCACATTCGACTCGAGGTCATAGAAATCTCGTGTTTCATTGAGGCGTTCGATTCATCCTTAGAAGGGGAAACAAGTAAACCCGTAAAAACAAAGTTTTTCACTATAAATCCTTTATATGCGTGGCGGCTAAAGTCCTCTCGTCCTCTGGCTTGAGATGGCTGCCACCTATGGGTCAGATGATTGTTTGCCACCATTAAGCAATTGGTAATTAAATATTTAATTTGTTTTCCCTAAACAGTGTAAAATTTTGGAATTTTTTTTCACGAAAACTAATTGTCACACACAACGAGTCTGTGTGGAAAATGTCAGCTCGATTGGATCACGGGAAGTGGGTTAAAAAACGAGCGAAAGATTTGCACGGTCCTAAGCAAGCAAGCGAACTTAATATAAAGGATTTAAAAATATATTCGCCTGCGGAGGACGCGGGGATCGATCCCGCGACCTTTGGCATGGGAAGCGAGGGCGCTACCAACTGCGCTACTCCGCCACGGCCTGTGGAGGGGTTACGCTCTGGGCTCTTACACTGTGACGTTCAGCCAAAGCCATGAATGCGTTCTATTTGAATATATGTAAAATAAAATTTTTTTGCCTAAAAAGTGTAAAATTTTGGGAATTTTTTTTCACGAACATTAATTGTCTGGCACAACGAGTCTGTGTGGAAAATGTCAGCTCGATTGGATCACGGGAAGTGGGATTAAAAAAACGACCGAAAGATTTGCACGGTCGTAAGCAAGCAAGCACGCAAGCAAGCACGCACGCACGCAAGCAAGCGAACTTAATATAAAGGATTTAAAACAATAAAATATACAGCAGGCGACGTTTCGGACAATAGCCCTTGTTCATAACACACATTTGTTGAGGCCATGTTTTTTTTTAATCTAGAAAATTTTAAACAAAAATCCCTCTGAGTTGGCAAGGTCGAAGTCTGGCGCTTGAACCCTAAGGATCTCACACGTGAACCCTAAGGATCTCACACGTGAACCCTAAGGATCTCACACGTGAACCCTAAGGATCTCACGTGAACCCTAAGGATCTCACGTGAAGCCTAAGGATCTCACGCACGTGAGGCCTGAGGGGGTGGGGCTTGAAGGGGGTGGGGCCTGAGGGGGGAGGGGCCTGAGGGGGTGGGGCCTGAGGGGGCGGGGCCTGAGGGGGCGGGGGTGGGGCCTGAGGGGGAGGGGTGGTGCCTGAGGGGGAGGGGGCGGAGCCTGAGGGGGAGGGGGTGGAGCCTGAGGGGGTGGAGCCTGAGGGGGAGGGGGCGGGGCGAGTCGCTTCCGGGTCGCCCCCCCCGCTGTATTTGGTTCACGCGCGCGGCAGTCGCGAGCAACTTTTTTTGGCGGGGACCTGCAAACAACTTAGTCATCGTCATCATTGTTGTAGTTGTTGTTGTCGTCGTTGTAGTTGTTGTAGTCGTTGTTGTAGTCGTAGTTGTAGGCGGATCGCCCCTCTCTCTCGCGGCTTTCGTCGACCGTCTCCGCGGATTCCGTCGACCGCGTTGCGTGAGGAGACGGCGAGGAGGAGGAGGAGGTGGTGAGGGGAATTCGCCGGCATTCGACGATGTCGGGCGTCGACGCGAGCTGGTGAGGAATCTCCGTGGGCGAGTCCCGGAATCTTTATTTCGAGACTCGCAGGAATCCGATGAGCTGTGAAGCTCTTCCCGCCGCCGTCACAGAGGTGTCCAGTATGGGCGGGTCGGCAAGTTGCAGCAGCAAACATTGCAGAATAAGACAACAACAACAAACGATAGGAGGGCAAAATAGATTTTAAGAAATGCTATGAAAGTTACTAAATATACATGCTGTAATGCGTTAATTATTAAAGTGTGGTTTATCAGCATTGGGCAAGTATCTTATTGGTTCTTTCGGTAAAGTCACGTATAAAATAATAAAAAGAAAATATATTATAAAAATAAAAAATTGTATTTTTATTATTTAATTATTTCCCTTCTACGTGACTTTACCGAAAGAACCAAGAAGATGAATCCCTGCAGTCACGAAAGCTTTAAATCGAAATTGGGCAAGTAGTCCCCGTAATAGAATGCCACATTAACATTGAAGAGTCGCCAACACGGGTCATGATGTAATTGTCGCGGGCGACTTGCCGTGCGAGTGCTGTTGCTGTTCAATCGATTGATCTTTATTTTAAGGTGCCGATATCGCCCTCATCGATAAAGTAGTGTCGGCATCTGTGCACATTGGCAGCAGAACGGGAACGGTGCGACAGGAATGACAACGACGATAATGATAACCCCATCGCTACCTCGGCGACTAGCACCGACTGAACGAATAGCGTTAAACAATACATCAACAAGTAAAGAGACGGGTTTTTATATTAAGTTTTGGATGTCATGGGAAGAAGGCACGTCTTGAGTAGGCGTGTCTTAAGATACATCGGACGCGTTTCGGATGCCGGGTGGCAGTTCAGAAGAAAAAAAAAACTGGAGAAATCCGGTGAGCTGTAAAGCGCTGTTCTACAGATGTCCAGTCGTAGTTGGGTGTTGTAGCAAGCGGGTTTGGTTGGTAGTGATCGGTTGCGATGTCAGACGAAGAGACGAGAAGGACAGAACAAGGGACGTAGAGACACTGACACTGTCAGACAATAATAAAAAATTAAATATAACTAAATTCTCACGACGTTTCGGCCACAACACAAGCAGCCGTCCTCAGGTGAAAAAAACAGCTGTAAACTCTGACTTTAACATAGTCACTTCCGTGACCAGTTACATGCTAATTCCTCACATGAACATCATGCTAATCTCCCAGTTGCATGCTAATTTCTGACTTTAACATCCTGCTAATTCTCTCACATTAACACAGCTTATTCAATGCTAAATTATTCTTACTCTTAGGTTTTTTTCGGTAAAGTCACGTAGGTAAAAATAAATAATAATAATAATAATAATTGAAATAAAATCTTATATTTATATTATTTAAAAAAAAATAATTATAGAAAGAAAATCTATTATTTCTATTATTTTTATTATTTATTTTTACCTACGTGACTTTGCCAGGAAAAACAACCTAAGAGTATGAATCCTTGCAGTCACGAAAGCTTAAAATTTATAACTAAATTATTCGGGTCGCCAGATGTGTGTAGCGCAGTGCGTAAACCACTGCAGAGACACAGAGACGGACAGAGACAGGACAACACTGCCACAGACGGACAATGACACTGAAACAGACAGTCACCCTGACAGATAAACACAAATATAAAGAGCTCCTGTGTTGCCTTGAAAAGGCTGTTTGGGAAAGTTGAGTGATAGATGGATGGATAGAAAAAAACTGTCGTGACATATCTCGTAAAACTGCATAAAACAATTTAGTCGAAGGCCTTTGACCAGTGACCTTAACAGCTATGATCAATCCACTGCTGGATGAAGGCCTCCCCAAACCATCGCTATCTTATGGCCCTGAGATGCAAAAATCTATCACGTGCCTCTTTCACCAGCAACTTAATTAGACAATAATACCAAATATGTGTATCCAATCATTTGGGAGCATTAATTCAAACCTATTTTTGAGCGAATAATTGATTTTACAGCAGTCGTTTTGTCTCATACTTATTATAAAAAACTATGAAATCGTACACCATTTAATAGAACGAATTGCGTTAGACAAGCGAGCTCGAGCCAAAATGTAATTATTACTGTGAAAAAAAAGAGGTGAAATTGGCCCTTTGTTGAAGGAATGTGGTGGTCTGCGTTGTCAAGCCATTGCGACCCATGACAGATGTCCACCAATGTGTGCCGAACTAGCAGAGACATGTGGGCTCACGTGGTCCTTGAGAAGAAGTACGCTCTGAACTGAACATCTCAATTAGCTTTAGATGCTCGGGTAAACAGTGCAATACTTAAAGCAAGAAATACTTGCACAGATACATTTAACAACAATGGAGAAACAAAGATTTGGCTGTGAAGATGTCTAAATATCTTTAGCTGTTCGACTAATAATTAAACACTGGTAAATCCGCCCTCTACAAAACCTACATTTTGCAAGAGTATTTCAACTGTGACTGATGTAACTGTTTATTTCCCACTAATTTGCGTAGATCTCACGTTTATAGATTAACAAAACAAATCTAAATGGGTTTCTCCCCTGGTTAAAATATGACATTTTCCACAGCTAAATTACGGGAATTTTTTTTATACTTGACTTCATGTTATGCCCCTTTATAGGGTTGTGAATGAGCACCTCAACTAAGTGTGTTGTCATTCCGTATTATTATTGGGGTGGATCTTTGGCATAGTGGGTAACTCACTCGGTTCTAAGTGTGGAGCTGAGCTTTTGTTAAACACTGATGATGCTGGATGTAATCTCCAGTGAAAGTTCGTATTTTGTCAGAATTGTGCTTGATTTTTAACATTCCTCCTCTGGTTTTGCTAATAAACCCAGTCGATGAGCATATTTGCCCACGTGACTTGATTTGATTGGCTCTGTTGGGTGGTGGAGGATTATAGTTTAAAACATTGACATCATAACTACGCGATCCAACCCAAAATACACTAATTATTAATCACTACTCTATGAACCTGGCGATGTGAGTTTTGTCACGACTGACATCGGTGGAGAGCATCTGAACTGGTCCTGCCCCCCCCCCCTCCTTCAACCTGCACTAACCAGAGTGGTAGAGTATGATCAAACAACCCTTGTGAAAAATATGGCATGGGGAGGCCTTCATCCAGCAGTGGATCGACAATGGGCTGCAAGTGTAAGTAATACAGGGGTCTGTCGCTGGACACACTCGCCACCATGCTCAAGGCAGTCAAAATATTCACGTCTGCACGTGTAGGTATGTGCAATCATGTGCGCAACACACCACGTAGATTGGCTGTGACTAATTGACGATTTAATATGCATTCGAAATTATGATTGGCTTGTCATGAGTGTGCGAGACGCCTACTGCTGTGATGTAGCAGCCGAGAATAATGTGTGCAAGCTTCACATGTTTGTGCGTCAATGGACACCCCTCCCTCCACCTTTACCTCCATTCCTCCCCCTGTCCCCAGGTGTCGGTATTTTTTTGTGTATGACACATCACAGGTGACGGGGGAAGATGACAGCACTGATAAAGGCATCCGCTATTTTTACCCGCCCGAGGTTGGTGTGCCACCGGAAACATTGCACAGTGAAAGCATATTGGCTATTGTGTAATTGCTGCCCTCTCAGATTGTTGATGGGATTGGCTGCGTCGCTCAGATTGTAAGAACACTTAGCTTGGCACCACCAGAAATATTGGGTTTAAATCCAGGCCGCTGCCCGTAATTTATACCGGGTTCTCAAATGCAGCAAGTCGATGGTTTCAGCCCAGTCGCCAAGTGCCTGTTTCATTTTTTTTATCACATTCAACTTGGTTTTGCACTTTAAAGGTTACATTCTAGCTCTGAGAATGAAGAATATTGGTCATGCAACAAACGTTGCTGTGTGGGGAAGTGCAGTCCATTAGTGTGACTAAGAGGCCACTTTAACAAAGATCGCAGACGCTTTTATGTGATGTATGCTTTCACAGACTTTTGTCTAACATTGAGGACGCACTGCTCTGTGAGACTTTCAAATTGATCGTTCTCATGACATGATGCACACATGTGCTCGACTTGGGGGGGAAAGTCAAAATATTTAAAGTAATGGAAGGTTGCCTTGTTTGCTTTTACTTTCACCGATATAATGTAATATAATGTAAAAAAAACGTGACCTCTTGTACGTGCAATGTTTTTGTTTTAACGCCCTTCATCTACTGCGCGCATCCGGTGCGGTAGATGCTGCTTCTTAAACCTTTTTAGACTGATAGATGTTGTTTACCATTTTTGCTTGTGGGCCTGTGACCGAATAACTGAGAATGGAGCCAATCCTGCTGTCAGACTTGGGAAGCAGTCTTGAGCCTGGATAATGATTGGATTGGTGTCTACCATGCACAAAGCAGGTGGTGTACACATTGTGTGCAGTAGAGGGCAGTGCAGCAAAATCCATCCTGCATCAGCCCACACACTGACCATTAAGGTGAAGTATGGTCAATTATACCTCATGGCATTAGGGAGGCCCTTGCCTAGCAGTGAATAAAAAATGGCCTTTACATTTGCACGTCTGATTAGCGTGGTTGACTATATACAGTGAGAAAGAAGTCCCACATACATGTAGATGTAACTCGCTGCTGTACACACCTTTGTTGGACTTGCGAGTCATGTTGCCATGTTTCTATTATGTTCTGCACCCCTGATATTGTAGTCTCGTGTATATGATGATGCTTTATCTTAGCCTGTTTCTTTTATTTGATGGGACATCTCATAGGCTGGACAGGACTTGGCCATGTTCAGTTCAGTGAACCTGTGCGGAGCCCTCCTTGGTCACATTCACGCCAGGTTAATAACGCACACGTATGTAACAATCCGTTGAGCCACCGGTGCCGGATTTTGCAGACGGACGAGGACGAACAGCGCTTGCTGTGCAGTCAGTTCCCAGGCGTGGCGCGGTGTGTCGCCGAAATAACCTGCCGCCCTCCGTTCATGCTGCACCTTCGTCACGTCAAGTTTGCGCTGCGCACTCAAGGCCCCTTCTTTCTGGTGAGCACTAAGCCATCGGAGTGCGATCCACTCCCTCGGAAATGCCTTCACAACGGCTGCAACGTGACATGTCATCACATGAACACCACTGGAAATGAAAAAAACCCTTGTGATGCAATTATCAAGAGCTCTGTTACAGTGTTGTAATGTTAAAGCTGTGCAGTGTTAAAATTGCTACTATGTAAAACAAAACTTTTGATGTAACTACAGCCATTTGTATGAAATGGCCAGTACGCTAACCGCTGCAGTCCCCTAATGTAATTATTTGCTAAAGTGTGTCATCTAAAGTAAAGAACACATTCTTTCCATATTTTAGCCGTGTTCTCTCCCCGTGTTCAAGACCTGACTCAAAAACCTCCATTTTCTCCTGTCGTTAATTGCTTCTTACTGTCGTTCTATTTTTTATTCGTAAATTTTTGTAACGCCACATCTGTTAGTCCTCGAGTTATTTGAAATGTATTGCTTCAAAATGGCTTAAGATGTTCATGAATTGCGGTGCTGTATATATTTAGATAGTAAGTTAAAGGGATGTGATGCATTTACCAAATTGGAGTAAGATTGTGTAGAGAGAAAAAAAAAGATTTTTTTAATGGTGCAATCCACACAATAATAAAGAATATTAATTTGGGGTAGCCAAGTAGAGGTAACTGGTGGACATCGATGCACACATTGTTTAATGGGTGTATGTCAGTGTGCTGCAGATCTTGTACATGTTCCATTCTAGCAGTGGCAACTACTTACGGAGTTTTACATGTAAATAAGTTTTGTCTATATTCTTTGGGTCTTTCGGTAAAGTCACGTAGATATCCTGCAGTCACGAAAGCTTGAAGTCAAGTTTATGTTCTGTGCACAAAGTTAGAGACCAAGTTAAAAACGAAGAAAATATCAAGGCAATGGTGCACATCAACCAGAGACCTTTGTGATTGCGTTTTTAAAGTTCTTGGTGGATTCAAATGTCACTCAAGGCATTTGTATCCGTATGGTGGTGTAATAGCCAAAACACGAGCACATGTGGGATCACAGCTTGTGAGAAGCAACTTTGAAATGGGACGAATGTTCTTTCCGCACCGTTGATGGAAGGATTATTCAAATTACATGGTTCAACAGTGCATTTTTCAGTGACATTTTTGGGATATTTTTCACTTTCCAATATTCATCCCAGTAGGGCACAGACAGGTTCGAAAGGACCGTGGATGCATGGGAAATGGGATTTTTGAGTATAATCGCTCTTCGCAGAAATATGACGTTCTCAGAGCTGACATACGATATGGAAAAAATTATGAGCGGTGATATATTTACAGACGTATTTAAATTCATAAACCCTTCCTTTAATATTTAAGTCTGTAACGTTTCAGTGATTCCCTGTAAAATAGAGTCTTGCTCTTCATAGTCATTGAATAATATATAATTTACAAATTATTAAATATATCTGTCAATCAGATGTTATAAAAGGCAAATTAATGTTTAATGCCATTATCAAGCATTAAGATATTATCAAAGGATGTTTGGTTCAGTGTAAACTGACACTCTCCTTTTAAGATCGGACAAACGAAGGCGTAAAAAAATATATTGCAATTGCCAACACCCATTTTCAAAGATGGAGCAGCTTCACTAATATAAAATGAAGAAAGTAGCAAAATGCAGATCACAGGAAGAATCATACAAGGAGCTATTCTATCACAGTGTCACTCATACATTGGAGAAATGAAGTACTCACCATTCAGTTGATGATGTGGTTATTTCAACAACCAGTGGCAATGAAATTATTTAAGAACTGTAGGATTCCTGACAAGTGGGACCAAAGATAAACATGAGCAAAACAAAAGTCGTGTACAAACCCGGCTACTCGAGTTTGATTCTCGCTCACTGCCAACACCAGTGACAATTATCTAAACCGGTCATGGACTTCCTCTAGGTCTGTGTGTATCTTGTGCATTGTGTAAACATCGCCGCAAGGAAGACAAAGACGGCCGGGCTCGGTGCTGGCCACCCACCCCCCTCGAGTGCCGTGCCGCCCTCGGAGGAGCTCGCGAACATTGCTTTCCCCAAAAGTCTGTTGAGGCTATAACAGGGGATCTTTGTCTTGGGGGGCAGGCTCTGGGCTGCATAACATCCTTGCCGGATGGCTGCTGCCGCCACATGTTGGATCGACTGCTGGTGCTGTTCACGTGCTACCGTGGCCCGCTGAGGCTTGCGTACCAGGTGCTGCCACCCACAACGCATGCTGCTTCCACTATTAACTTTCTCATGTGACTTAGTTGTGTTTGCTCCAATTTCTCTTTGCTTTATTGCTGTGCTTTATATTATTGGTTTTGCGTTTGTCACTTTGCTGAACCCCAATCTCACTATTGGATTTGAAATGTTCGTGTTCTCTTGGGTTCTCCTCTAGCTAAACAAAATTAACTTCAAACCAAATTTTTGGTTATGCGTATTCTTGCTGAAACAAATTCTCCTATACATAAGACCTACTTTAGTCAGAGGTCTGACACAAACCTCAGTTAATTTTGTTTAACCAGTGAGAAACTTAAGAGACCAGGATAGTCTAATATGCAATTGTCACCTGGGTCACCAATATGACAAAGTGACAGTTGTATGATACATGCAGCATGAAAAACGTGGATCAGTGTTTCCCGCAAAGTGTCACAGTTATTTGTGGTTACCTTGTGGAGCTGCGGTGGTGAGACGTTAACTACCTCGCTTGGTATACAGGAGGTTGTGGGTTGGATCCCAACCCTGACACGTGTATATTTGGAGTTTGCATGTTTACCTCGTGGTCGTGTGGATTTTTCTTCGGGTTCTCCGGTTTTCCCTCCACATTTCGAAACATGCGAGTATTTTGTTGCTATTAATTTCCACATGATAAGCCACTTCGTTGAGCTCTAATTTGGGGCCAGATCGCTTCTGAAAAAGAGCTGTATAGCTCTTAAGTGGGCCTTACCTGGTCAAATAAAATATAGTTTTTAGTTTTAAACATATGCACATGGAAAGAAACATTAACCTGTGTGGCCTGTTAACCGATGGACTTGGTGTTACTTTCTTTTTGGTGGGGTCTTTTATTTTACTGCTTACTTTACAAACCATGGAAGATGCGGATACTTGATGCACAAAAGGAAAATAAAAAAAAAAACATCTCTGGTGTGTGACTGATCACCCAGAACAGACCAAAGCACATACAACGATTCAATGCCCATTTCACAAACACGAAGAAGGCATCATCACAGCGATACACTCCGCTACTACTCCTGATGCAATTATCTTGTTCTATATCAACATCGGCCATTCAAAGAAGAATACTACAGGAAATTATTACCTGTCGCCATCTGTTTTAACTCGAACGTTACGAGACCTCGGTTTGTTCAAGTAGGCTATTGTTGGCGTTTACAATTGTTCACTGAAAACCCTGGTAGTGCATTGTAAAAACACACCAATATCTGTCTCCGCATAACAGCCTGAGCAATCTGGTCTGTCAGGCAAGAATTCCTCATTCTGTGACCCACCGGTGGCAATTAGAATCCGTGCCCTCAAGGTCATCTTGACCAAAACGCCACCTTGTTTCTGCACCAGCCTTGAAAAGTGCTTGCCAGCAGTACTCGCCCTGACGGTCCGTAAACTTAAAAGTTGATCGTTTCCTTTGTTCGTGTGTGTATTTGTAGTTCTGTGCTTAGGTGTGTGCTTTTGTGCCCTTGTGTGTATTTGTGGGGAGCAGGGTAGTGTAGCCATTCATGCGCTACTTTACGAAACCGGCGACCCAAGTTCATTTCCCGCTCATGGTCAACATTTGTTATGATTAACTGAACCGGTCCTCGGCCTCCTCTAGATCGACTCAGCTTTAAATTAGTGCCTGTGGAGACGAAGGGCATGGGGTTGGCACCACCCACCCCCTCGTGTGCCGTGCCAGCCTTCATAGGTACTCGCTAGCAGCACTTGCTCCAACAGTCTGTTGAAGGCTATATAGTGATTCTTTGTACACCTGAGCGACTGTCTCTCCATGTGCCTGTACGCACGTGTGTGTGTATATATATATCAAGATTACAAAGATCCCCCTTATAGCCTTGAACAGACTGTTGGGTCAAGTGCTGTTAGCGAGCACTTATGAAGGCCGGCTAGGTACACGAGGGGGTGGGCGGCCAGCACCATGCCCGACCACCTTTGTCTCACACCGCACCAGGTACCCATTTGAGGCTGAGTCGACCTAGGGGAGGCCCAGGACCGGTTCAGACAATCATCACTGGTGTTGGCCATGAGCGGGAATCGAACTCGGGGTCGCCATGTTCGTCGCGCAGTGCGCTAACCGCTACACTGCCGCTCCCCATATCAGCAGGGATCTGGACCTCCATGGCCCATCTGGGAGCCCTTCCTGGACCATGTGCAACGAGCAGTCAGATACCTGCCCGGGCTATTTTCCACCGTGCGCTACCTCAACAAGCGGGAGGTACGCTGACCGCACAAACCTCGCATGGATGAGGCAGCCACAAAGGAGCGAGTTCATTACCTTGGAGGGGGGAGGGGAAATATGCGTTCAAGTTTATTTTATTTGTTACACAGACGATCGTGTTTAAGCCAGTTGTGTGGATATTTTACGAGGTTGGTCCGTGGTGTGTGACCACAGCAACGACAAAACAAGGGCAAAAACCATCAATATTGCAAAGAACGAGTACAGGGTCCTTAAGAAATATTGCACAGGGCCTATTCACCACAAAGCATTGTGGGGCGTTGGGGGGGGGGGGCATGGGGCGATGAGGGAAAGAGGAGGGGCACCTGACGAGGTTGAAGGTGGAGGGCCCAGGCTCGAATAAGACAGAGGGAGGGAGGGGGGAGGGGAGGTAGAAAGGCTGGTGGAATGCCTGACGTTCCTGTGTGCACACGGTGGGAATGTTTGTGAGGGCAGGTGGACCCATTGCTGCTGCTGAAGGCAGCGCTTATCCTGCAGAGCTGCCAGCGCTGCCCCCACGTGTTGGCCGGCTGCATCCTGCACAACCTCACGTACGGCCGCTCGCACGCACTCGTACCGCCATGCAAGATGCACACCCACACGGGTACGTCCCTTGCGTACAGCTACGGGTCCCACGGTGCAACCGTGTGTAGCCATACAGCCACAGACGCGTAAATGGATTCGCAGCTGATGTACATAGCCAATCGTGCTAATTTAATAATATTTTACACTCCGAAAAGTGTTCCCCTTTCCTGCCCTAAAAGGCTGATTCATCGGCGCTGTCATGGGGTCCACGGCACTTTGGCTCGTAAACCACACTCGTCTCCCATTCGCTTTGACCTGCCTACTCTCATGTTGTGCATTGTTGCCTTTGGCACAAGTTACCCAGTGGCCACAACAATATATATTATTCAGAGGTGGCCGGGTGCCTGAATGGCCTGATAGCGTCAGAGTTGTGAGCCAGAAATGGTGTGATCCTGGTTTCGAATCCATTCGATCAACCCTGATTAAACTGGGCGGTCAAATATGGCAAATTGGTTTTGCGTTGTCATCAATGTCTGCACAAAAAATGATAGTTAAATAAGCTTTTAATGCTATTCGGAATATTCCAGCTCTGAAAATTACGCATTATAATTTGACTACAAACACTTTTTAAGGCAAATTAAAGGTGAGTGGATGGGGACTTAATTGAAGTGACTTCATAAGCGTTTTTGTGGCGTTACCTTGCATGGCCATTCACTGACACAGAGTGCAACACTGCCCTGTATGAGAGTTCCAAGTGGAATTTGTGTTTGTTTTATGACAACATGAGGTCGACGGCACAATTGGAAGATTTCGTGGAGAATACAAAGATGCTTGTAAAAAGACGAGAGCGTCGCTTTTCTCTCACCAAATATACACTTTGTTTCGTACCACTTTGGGTTATAATTTCTCCTTGAAAGTTGACAAACGACGTGTTATCACTGGCAGAGTGGTGAGCAGCCAGCTGACCCCTCAGGTGACGGCTCATCTCCTCGCTGCGCGGAACGTTCACCGTGCTCTGAAGGTGCTCTTCTTGATACTCACCGACGTTCAAACACACACACGAAGACCCCCTGTATAGCCCTAACAGACTTTTTAGCCAAGCGTTGTTAGCGAGTACCTTTGAAGGCCGCCATGGCACGCACACACAGACACAATTGTTTCGTCAATGTGTGCACACATGTTTGCTTCTACTCACCCTTATTGCCTCTTCCCGACATTTTCCTCTCTGCTTCCTCTTGTTCAGAACATCCTGTCTCGTTTCTCAGCTGCCCAGCAACCTTCACATGAAGGACGAGCTCTCCTCTGGAAGGGTCTTTCCTCTTGGTGTTGGTCTGAAAACCTCCTTTGATGGATAATTCAAAATTATCACGTGCATGCTGGACCTTCCCTATATTTTCACTCGCGTCAGAGTGGTATATTTTCTTTTTCAACAAGTATTTGATTTTGTTGGACCTCCACACATTTAGTCTTGATTTGAAGCTTTCGTGACTGCAGGAATCCATACTCTTTGGTTCTTTCGGTAGAGTGACTTTACCGAAACAACCAAAGAGTATCCACACGTTTAGGTTCGATGCGCACGGTGTAACATTTATGTAATGTGTGTGTTCATATGAGCTGCTTATTCCTTTATATCGCCTTCATAATGGATAACCCTTGCATTTCATAAGTCATTTGTATAACTTGTAGCTTTTTTGTTTGTTTATCTCAACAGGACCTTTCACAGTATTCAAGTAAGTTAAATTGTTGTTTCAAAACCTCACAGGGTTATTGAACATTTTTATGTGTTTGGTATAAGACACTGCCACACTATCGTCGTATTTTTTGTTCTGATTCCTTCATTGCTGTACTTGAGTTTTTTTATATTTTGTCATTCTGGTAACTCGGGTCACTCGTGGAAATGATCTATTGCTGGCCTCTTGAGTTCTCACATGGTTAAACAAAATAAACTTTAACCGTGGTCCACGCCACGACATTAAATACTTACAGAATACGTCGTACATATGAAGCGAATACAATCACAATGAAACATAACAAATATATATTGAGGCAAAATTAGTTTGGCATATTTCTACATTGGTCACTTGCATATACAAATGTCTTAGACAGTTGGGCTTGTTAAGACCAGTTGTATGGGGTTAAATAGGTCGATGCTTTTCCGAATTTAACACATTCTCAGTGTGCCAACAATGACCATGGTGACGAAATTGAGTCACATTTAACACAATTGTAAGCAGTGTCACTTTTACAAAATCTGGATTTTTCCTGGATGTGACACCACAACACCTACCTATACTGGTGTGCCTAAATTCAAATAATTTATCAATAAATGAAACCTTAATTGACATTTACTCACAGTGGGTGGGTGAAGACATTGCATCGAGTGTCCGCTGTTCGTTAAAACTCCTCCGGTGTTCTTTGCTATCCCCCCCTGTAGGTGGCGACACTGCCTTTGACCGGGAGGCGTCGGTCATCCCAGTCTACCTCTCCGACGAGGAGTTCTCGTCCCTGCACTGCCACTCTGCGAGACGACTAAACAGGTGCCGCCCCCCGCCCTCTAACATCGCGTTACTGTGCGTCTGACCGCCGTGGGTCATTGCGAGGGTGCGCCTCATCGCGCTTCACAGACAACCTACGTCAGCCTCTTTGAACCGACAAGGCAGTGTAGGTTTTTTATTGGGTGCAATTATGAACAAGAGCCATATTAGACATTAGTACATCTAATCGGCGTAATCATTGGTGACGACCTGACACCAGCAGTGGGTGGTTGGCTGTTGAAGGTTATTTTACACAGCCTGTGCTTGGTGTATCTTGTGGCCAGTTCAACCCAGAATGTGTTCGATCTCATCAGACCCCGGAAGCTTACGCGGCATTGAGCCTGGACAGTGCTTGGATGGGTGACCACCACGCACGGGCAGTTGTCACAGGCGTCTGCGATGCTGTGCCACGTTGTGTGAAGCAGACGACAGTGCAGCAAATCCTTTCCTCTGCTGTACTTCTATACTCCCACCCTTCACCTTGATATAGGGAAGGACCACAAAGCGAATTTGGAACCAGCTGACCACTGCTGCCTTTCCCCACTCGGCGAGCGAATTAATGCCGTTCGCTTTTTAAGTTGAAATTGTTATCGTCCATAAAGAGCCGTGGACATACACAAGCTGCGTTCACAATCCTAAACCAGCAGATGGAAACAAAGGGCTGGGAAGAGGAGACGCTGGGTGCTTGAATGGTAAAGGCCAATGTGTCCCAAGTCAGAAATATTTCATTTTCTTTCATATATGCATGTTTTTTTTGTATGTTGTAAGCCGGGCTGTTATGTCACCATCACTCTATTTGATAGTGCGCCTTTCACGGTTGTTCTCACAAAGTGCCATCTGCATTGTGGCCGTGGGCTTTGAAAGTACAGAGGTTCACGTCCCGCAACAAAATACCCTTTCGAATGTGGCATAAATGTAATAATATTTGTCAGCTGTCTGTCAACGATCGGACGATTCCTGCGTACGCTTAGGAAGTCATGCCCCAGTTTGCATTGACGTGGGGTGGTGGCGGGTGGGGTAGGGGTTGGGGGGGTAATGATCGTAAAATCCGCTATTTTTATTCAACAATACTCCCATCTCGAGATGCAATGAGTTTAGTTGGCGGGCAGTGACGGGCTCATTCCTGTTCTTTAGCAATTTAGAGGCAATGGCTGGTGGATCAGAAAAATTGTGAATCTCTAAAACATGTGAGGATGACCAGGAGTGGGGCGTAACATCGAGTGGTTTCATGCCCTCACTCGAAGACACTGGTGTTATCGCAACCACGTCAGAACATCAATAGGTCGGTGCACGCTTCATAAATTAAAAACTAAAGACAAGCCACAGTGCGATTGTGGCCTTGCAACCCAAACTATGGACCGTATCGTAACCCACGATAGTCTGCACTCCTTCAATGGAAGAATAGCAAAACTACATGAACTCTGTTCTAAATCTCTCTCGTGGGCAGTAGACCTCGCCATTGGCATTTAGCTCCTGGACATATTTGCCATGCGCAATAATCGAATAGACTGCTCTCACTTGTATGGAGGAGTGTTTGCATGGTGGTAGGTTTTCCCCTAGTATTCTTCCCATACACAATACACTGGTGAATGGGGTTGGCCAAATATGGATGGGACTGCCTCGGGGCTGAGTGATTCTTGGCATCTTTGTGCCATTTATTACAGTGGCATTTATCTAAGTTCTGTCCCACAGTGAGCGATTACCTACAAACACAGCCGCATTTGTGGCTGGTGAGATGACGATTTAATGTGTTATTGCGATTCAGGGTCACGGTTGGATGCAAATATCTATAATATTTATTTTGCAATGGAGTAAATAATAGCTCCTTTAGAAGGGTATGTATGTTGACATTATTTTGCACCATACATAGCCAACCGTATTAATCTGGATGACGTGGGCCCATTGTACACTATATATACACACAAAAGAAAAAACAACTTACATTTTTGCACGCATGATTCGATGTGTGTATTGTGAGCTTGAGAGTCTCCAAGTGGATGCATTGTTCCACCCACAATGAGCAGAGGGGACACTCACTCTGCACCACGCTTGAGAGACTGACTCTACCGCCATATTTCACAGCAGCTGTGCCTTCGTCTCAAACACGCTGATAAAATTACCACACCCATGGTTCCTGGTAGATTCTCCAGCCATCTCAGGAAGGTGGCTGTGGAAGTGTATTATTATTCAGATTGAAACAAAACAATAATTTTTTTTATAGTTGCGGAGAATGAGTAACAAATAAGCATGCAATACCCATCCACACATCTGTGCCTCTACATAGAATATAAAAGTATACTTAAACCACAAGGCCTTATGGGAGTGCATAATTTCAAGAAACATGACTGTTGATGACACTGTGTTAGAACCGGTTCCATAAAGTTTGCTGGTATCAAACCAATGCTGTGAGAAAATATGCACTCCCAGAAGGCCTTTGTGGTTGATGGGAAGTGTTAACAAATAATTGCATTTTTTTTTTCTCATGAGGGACAGATGAAGGAGATGCATTGCCTGCTTATTTATATTGAGTTATTAAGATTGGCACTGTGGCCTCTTGAGGGGCTGAGGCTCGGGTGTTCTTCATAAGCCGTCCCCGCTAATGAGTTTGGGCATCTCAGATTTGTGCGTGATGTTATTTATTTATTTTATCTTAAGTGGTCTGTGTGGACGGTAATGTGAAATGCCTTCGGTTCCCATTTCGCATGTAATTGGCTTGTACCGAGACACTAACAACTGCTTCCACGTTCTAACCGGGGGAAAATTAGGATACGTGAATTGTTCTCGTTTGGCAGTAAATGTATGCGCATACATATTTGTATTGTGCATGTGTGTGTGTGATGGGTCTATACGTGGTTCTACGTGCAAGGCTATCCATAGGAAGCTTAGGATGTGTGTTATTCTTATTGTTCCAGCAGCGATGTTGCATTGCTTGAGTTTATAGAAAGATAACGAGCATTATGATTGTCAGCAGTCAAACTGATTTCCAGCTCAATGGAGTGCTGGGCATTGCTCACGTCCTCTGTTTTTTACAGCCTTGAGCTGATGGTGGAAATTCTCACAATAATAATGACGGTAAACAATCGCACGGATAGTTATTATTTGGTGATGCTGTGATGGCAGTGGTGTGCAGTACATCGAACAAAAACGCAACACATTTGTCAATGACACTGGCCTTGAATTATGTTTTATGTGCTATGTAGAAGGTCCATGGGCCATAATGTCACCTATTGTATCTATTTTTTCTATTCTTTTCAGTTCGTATTATATGTGAGTGACGTTTTTCAGGTAATTTGTGCAAACTGCATCTCACAATGCTGCACAATATTCATATATTTCTTCCGAATTGACGAGTGTTTGTACGTGTAGGAAGAAACCAGGTATTAAAAAAAACACGTATGAGTGGGAAGCACTAACCCATTGCCCCATACACGGCGATGGGATGAAGCCGCTGAGTTAACCTCCCGCTGTGGTTTGAACTCGGGAACCATCGGATTGTGAGCCCAAGCGGTCTAATCACTGCGCCATCTGGCCAAATCGTCCTAAAAGTGGCAGAAGCTTCTGTCTCTGGGAAGCTCCCAAGTCACGGCATTAATAAGCACAGCTGCCAGGCAAGTCTTGCTTCAAATCGAGGCATCACTGCGCCTCTCCCACGGCTTGCTAAATCCTGCTCGCATCAGATAAGGCATTAAGCTGGATTGAGCAAGGACATTATGTGGGGGTTGTGGCCACAGAGCCAACAGGAAGTTACTCTGGGGTAGGGACTTCCTAACCACACGTTTCTAGTTGGAAAATTAAGGGAACATTCCACTTCGGTCATTGTACAGAACTGGCTGCAGTCCACTCACTTCCGCCATCGGTCATCGCAAAATTTCCAGTTTAACCAACCATCATGTTGAGCGCACTGTGAAAACACTGAACCCTTTTCCCATTCCGATGACGTACGTGTACGTCATCAATTTTTCTTCTGGAATCGGAAGAAATTGCGAAAAAAACTAAAATAACTTTTGTCGGTACGTCTTCAGGTCGGAAGACGTACCGAGGCTCCCACAAGGTCATGCGGAAGGGCGTGTGGCACAGTTTGGCGCCAGCTATCATAGAGTGTGGTCGTGTCGCTACAGTTTTCTTCGGCGAGTACAATGTCTTTAAAATCAGCGACGCTGTACCTCCCTAAATCAAATTAACACTAACTGCTTATGCGTTCCTAGATTCAGCGGTGAACGTAACCCATACCCTGCATCTTGCAGATGTCTCTGAATGTGAAAGGGTTAATTTGTATATAATTGGAGACAAATAACAAGTGTGCCAAGGTTGGGCGTGTGGTGCAATCAGGACCGGCGTTTTGGAAGCCCTCAATGGTGAAGCCAGGATTTTCAGGTAGAGGGGGGCAACTCTTCCAGCAATGAAAAAAGGAATTGTTAGTAAGGACTTGTCCCTTGCTTTTTATTCGACGCATGTGCAGCTATGGTGCAGCCATCGATCGAGGGTCGAATTCTAACCGTGTGTGATCGGCATCGCGCTCGCTGAAGGTGTTGATGCCTTCAGGGAAGTCGTGGACTGTAGACGCAACTGCGCACAATTCTGTGAGTCACTTATAACCGCTTTGCCGTTACTTATTGCCAATTATGGACTCAGACTACTGTCCTTATTGCCAATTATGGACTCAGACTAGAGTCCCTGGCACGTAATAATATGCTACACAGTGGCAGTGGCGGTCGCAAAATGCCGATTTATTACGAATAAACCCCAATGATCCGATCTAAATTAGGGATTTCGATCGGATCATTGGGGGGGGCACGTGCCACCCCACCCCTCACTGGCTCTGCCAGTGAAAGCCCTCCTGGGAAATACCATTCAATAGTTTGTTTGAATTTTCAAATGATGGCAGCTACACTGCAGGCTCAGTAGGGGGCTCTCTTCACCTCTGTCCTCAATAGCTCCTGTGCCCTCTTTTGCTCAAGCTCAAACAAAAACGGTACACGTTTCAATTTCAATTGATTGCTTTG